TGGAAAATGGTAATTAGCGATGGTGATGGTGGTCCTGACTGCTCCTGGATGAGAACGAAGGTCTATTTAACCCTGAAGTTCTTCTTTGATTGATCCATATCCATTCCTCTTTTTTAAAAAAACCCTGCATCTCTAACAACCGGCTTATTTCACTATCAGCTCTGCTGTCACTTATAACAGCTATGACATATCTGGTGAAATTGTAGATGTTTACAAATAGCTCAGTAAAGATGTACATACATAAAGAAATATGTAAAATATATCTTCCTGCAAATTTTGGTGCATGCTATTTAAGTACAGTTGCTTTTATGGGCTCCGAGTAAATTCTTTATATACTCTCTCAGTCAATATTTTGCAACATCTCCTTTGGCACAAGTAATTGCTTCCAAGAGTTTCTTGTAATGAGCTAATCTATTTTTGTTAATTTTCCGTATTCTTATCTTGTAGAAATTTAACTTGAAAATTTCCTTGCATTCTAGAAATTTTTAATATTAAAAGTCTGGAGATTGTGAAGGGACAATTCAACACCTTTACTGTATTTTAAGTACAGGCAGTCCTTGACTTATGACAATTAAGCCCAAAATTTATGTTAAGTGAGACATTTGTTAAGTGGATTTTGCTCCACTTATGACCTTCCTTGCCACAGTTAAGTGAATTGCTGCAGGTAAGTTAGTAACACAGTTGTTAAGTGAATCTGACTTCCCCATTGGCTTTGCTTGTTAGGTCACAAAAGATGACCATATGACCCCGGGATACAGCAACGGTCATAAATACGAGTCAGTTGCCAAGTGTCTGAATCATGTGACTGTGGGGATTCTGCAACAGTTGTGAAAGTGTGAAAAAGAAGTAATGTCAGTGCCATTATAACTTTGAACAGTCATTAAGAGAACTGTTATAAGTCAAGACTACTTGTACTTGCCACCCACATTAGCCCCACAATGAAATAGGTGGCAAATACTTAACAAACTTCATGACTGACAGCTGACTTGGCAAAATATTTATCCCCTTTTCAGATTCAATTTTGCCAAATACATACCATGAAGAGGTTTATCTGCATCTGTTCACTAAAACCTACAGCCTGAGCAGGGGCATCTCAACTTTTCTGTATTTCTTTCTCATTTGGGGTACTTTCTTTTCTGTCTTGACCATAATTTTGCATTGAATTATTCGGTCTTCCTCCAATTGATATATTGCTATAGAATATTATATTTGTTGAATTTCTGTCTAAGTTGGCTCCTAAAAGCCCACTGTAAAGTGATTTCTAAGACAATTTCAAATTGGTTGACATGAAGATCTAATGATCATGTGGCTAATAAGTTAAGATGTTCCCATTTGAAGCAAAGGATAAAGCTTTTAATCTTCACACCAAAATTAAATTCTAGGAAAGGGACAGAGAACATATAGCTTCCATGCAAAAGAGGCTGAGGACAGTTAGGAGTCCAGCAATATGAGGCAAACCGTAAGTTTCTTCTTTGTGCAGGGTCTAATTTATTTATTGCTAATTCAGCTTGTATCTTCCATACAGGTTTGAAGGAAAGTCCTATCATGCCGTTAGAAGAGAGTGAAAGAATTGTCTGTATCATGGATGAAGCACGAAAACAGGTGGGAGTAGTCTATGAACAGGACCATAATATGTAATGTTGAAACCGCCTAATAAAATGTTCAATTCTACCAAAAATTGTCTCTGCGCAATGGTTGCATTAATTAATTTAAAACCGTCTGGTTCAGAATAGGCAAGATTGGTTTTGGCCTTTGAAAAGCATCAACTCCATGAAAATGTTGGCAGAAAGTGTGCTTCAAGCTAGGACCTTTAAATGACCTGCTTTTAAAGAGAGCCATAATCTACCAACTTGCATTGGGCCTGTATGGGAACAATGGGTTCAAAACTGTATAAAGAGGCTTTCATCTTACAATGGCTTGATTTGGGATGATTAAATCTTGTATAATTGAAATAAGCAATATTTGAAGAGTAGGCAATATTTTACATTAACTCTTGAAAGATTTCTGTTAAGAATGTCAACTTATTAGTTTATATAAGATTTCTACATTCTTCCATAATGGAAGGCCTTGCGAGATGAGATTGCTGACACCCTGAAAGTTTCTGGCTATTTTTTCACGTTAAGTATTTTGAGATGCTGGGGATTGGAAAAGTCAAGTCTAAAGATGCAAAAGTACGATATTTGACTCAAAGCATACATTTTAAGCTTGCTCCAGTTGCTAATCACTGCATCAGCAAAATGTGAATAGTTTAGGTAGACAGCATAAGATGGTTTAGTGACTCCAATGAATTCGGTAAGAACGAAGACCAGATGAAGCTTCCATCGAGCTGCCTAGAACTAAGAAATAATATAATACTGCTGCTGGTAGCATTTGAATGATAGCTAACTTCATGGGGTTATTCATCTATAAAAACTTATTTGGAGCCTTGCTTCTGTGGTTTGGATATGCAGCTCCTGTGCCCATAATATGAAATCAGCATTTAATATTGTATTTAGCAAAAGAATTTTAATTTTACTTAGTTGCTGAGGACCCACACTTTGAAAATCCCTTGGTTAGAGAACAGACACCCATACTGTCTTGCATCCTTGAAAAAAAATCTAGCTCAGAAAATCAAATACAGGTAGATAGTCCTCAATTTACAATGACCATTTGAAGTTACAACAGCACTGAAAAAAGTGACTTGTGACTGTTTTCTATACTTATGACCATTATAGTATCCCCATGGTCATGTGATAAATATTCAGACACCTAGCACTCATTGGCTTTGCTTTGGCTTTGCATAAACCACCATTTATGATGGTTGCAACAAAAGTTGTAAAATGAAGCAAAACTCACTGAGTAAATGTTTCACTTAGCCACTGAAATTTTAGGTTCAATTGTGATCGTAAGTCAAAGACTACCTACATTCATTCCCATCAACTGGAGCTATTGCTAAGAGAAAAAGTACTTGAAATGCTCCTTTGAATAATAAAAAAACTTAAAATACAGGACTGTAAATAGTATGCTTTATTGTGGACTGAATCCTAGTCCTTAATTTAAATCAAGATGCCATAATGCTTCAGGACATCTGTGTATTTAGAAATCTTGCTTTCCACATTTTTTTCTGCTTGCTTTCGGAGTTTCTAAAAAGGAGAAAGAAAAAAAGGGGCTCAGTACAGCAACAAGGTATTAATAGACAGGTTAAGTGCTAAATGGTAAAAATCCAATGCTGGGAAATTACACAACTTACTTAGGCAAACTATCAGGGAACTCAGTCACAGAATAATTCAGATTCCCTACTTTTACCACCTGCTGGATAATTAGTAGTTTATCATGGTGAAATCTAAACTTATTGCTTTTCCCCTCCGTTTTTAATTCACATGTTCTGGGACTTCCAAGCATAAGCATTTCTCCACTCAGCCTTTGATATGCAAGATTTGGAGCGGGAAAGAGAGAAAGCTACCTCTCTGCTAAGGCTACTCTAGACCCAGCAGCCCACAACCTTTGGAGCACCAGGGACCGGTTCTGTGGAGAGGTTTTGCTGTGGACAGGAAGGGGCGTGGTTTTGCATGCTGTCTGCATCCCACAGATGGGGCTTCACTTGTTTGTGTGGCATGCCGCAGACCGGGACTGGTCTAGAACAGGGGTCGCCAACCTTTTGGACCCCAGGGACCACCAAACTCGTAATTTTAAATCCCAGGGACCACTAACCAGTTCTGTGAGGGTTGGCCTAATTTGTGGGTGTGGTTTGGTGGTCATGTGACTGGCTGGGCATGGCTTGTATGTAAATGTTATAAATATTGAATTTTTTTTATATAAAAAAAGAGCAACAGTTTACCCAAAATCAGGCAAAGCAGGCAGGCAGATTGAGTTGCTCACAGAATCACAGATTCACTTAAGAGATCTATCTATCTGCCATCAGCTAGCTCATTCTGTCACATAAAATTTGCTTGCAAGCAAACTCATAAAATTAACTCATAACACACCATGTATGTAAATATTGAATTTTTTATTAAAAAGAGCAACTTTTACCCAAAATCAGGCAAAACAGGCAGACAGATTGAGTTGCTCACAGAATCACAGACTCATTCAGAGATCTGTCTATCTGCCATTGGCTAGCTCAGGCTCTCAAATTTGCTTGCTGAGTCTGCACTGAATAACAGAAACTTCAGTCCTAAGGGAGGTTTGGCTGTGCTTCAAAGCAGAGCCGAAGATCTAAAGACTAGCTAGAAAGCAAGAAATCCAACCATTTCCTGCTTCCTAGCTAATCTAAATCTCCCAGCACAGCAGAACAGATGATGGTCGGAAAAAGGAAAAATAGCAATTTAGCAGGCAAGTTTGCTGGGTAAGTAGTGGGCGGGGGAGGGTTCCCACAGGCCATGTGGGCTGCGCAGCCTTGTGTTTCTGCGCAGCCTGGATCAATTGCTTTGGAGGGGTGCTCTGGGGGTGAGATTTCTCTGAGGCCCACCAAAATTTTCTCACGGCCCACCAGTGGGCCACAGCTCACCGGTTGGCGACCGCTGTCTAGAACACCCTTCACTACAATTATAAGCTAAGGTTAACTCACCATAAGATGTTTCTTCTTTGTATAATGAACCTTGGCCTTCTCTTTACGCTTCTCTTCCAGAGTGGCTGTAATGGCCTGGTACTTCCACCCAACCTCATGGGCAAGGCGGCCCAAAAAAGCAAACTGTGTGGAAGAAAAAAGCAACATTTTATGACCAGTCCCAGCATCAAATTTTCACACCCTCTATTCTTGCTAAATTTCATTTTTCCAGATATTCCTATTAATGCTATTCCTAGTGCTCCACACACCCTAAACCGCAGACAACTGAGCCTTTAGCATGGTCGTTATTCTGTTAGCAGAGTCCTTCCCAGCCTGTCTTGAGGTTGTGCCGGATCTCAACGGATTGGATCTCCAACCAGCATTGCTAGTAGAATCAGAATTCTTGTTCACCATCAGCCAGACTTGCTAACCCAGAAAGCCAACTCCCTCAAATATCATAGTGTATTACAAAAGGCAGGTCTCAGATGGTAGTGCATGAAATGTTGTCTCATGGTCTTGAAACTCGAAATATGGTGGAATGTCATCATCACAGACCTACTTACATCAGTACCTTAACAAATGTAGTATACTATCTCTCAAATAGCTAGTAAGGCCAAGATTCCAAATCAGCACCAATCTAACAATAATGCTGTAGGAGAAAATACCACTACTATAAGAGCAGTGATAGTGCAGTGATCAGAATGAACTATTGCAGGCTGACTCTGCCCACAACCAGGAGTTCAATCCTGACCCGCTCAAGGTTGACTTAGCCTTCCCTCCTTCCCAGGTGGGTAAAATCAGGATCCAGATTCTTGGGGACAATATGCTGATTCTGTAAACCACTTAGAGAGGGCTGTAAAGCACTATGAAGTTGTATATGTTTGCTACATTTTCAGGCTGAAAACTGATCTGGTCAGTAATGTCAACTTTCTTGCCTGATACCATCTAAGCAATGAAGGGGTTTCCAAGCCCTCCAATCACCTTTTCTCACCTCAATTCTTTTAGCCAGAGAAAAGGAGCTTCTGAAATCATATTTGCATATTTAACATAGGAATCTAGGGGTCCTCCTTAATTTAGAATTTAATGGCAACAGATTGTCAAGCAAAGAAACAATGTACTAAATTCCTACTGTTAATTCTTAAAAATAACAATTACCTTGCGTGTGGGTTTGAGACGGACCACTTTCAGAGCAGCTGGGACGACCATTCTCTTGCGCTGCAAGAAAAGAATATACCATTAGCAATACTTGCATAATGAAAGCAGCTCTGAGCAAAACTAGGGATGCTCAGATCTGCCTCAGTCTTAGGGTTTTTTTTTCTCACATCTTAAGTCAAACAATGTAGGTAAAAAAGAGAACATCACTGACAGAACAGGAAGCCAAGGAGTCAAGATAATTTCTCTTCAACATCAAGAAGTTACCTTATCATAAGGTGGAGGGATGCCATCAAAAACCTTCAGCCTCTCTAAGGCAGCCTGACCACGTTTGGTTTTGTGAGGGAGCATTCCTAGTGGAGTGAGGGGACAAATGGGAAAGGTGTACAGGGTTAGCAGAGACCCCCTAATCTGACCCCTTACAACATATAGGAAAATGTAAATAGTTCCCTCCTAATTAATGAAATAATATCTGCAACGCTGAGCACAATGAAGCAGGACTAAATGTGATTACTGAACGAACATATATACAAAAGTAACCTGCATTAGAACTACTTTACTCCACCCCAAATTTAACAGTCTTTGCTCATTTGGATCCTTTAATTGCTTTGAATTACAACTGTTGCAACTGCCAAACCACAGGGGCATTGATCATAATCTGGAAAGAACGGGTTAAGGAATGCTAACCTCATTCAAACTGCACATTCAAATTTGGTAATGTGGACTCCCACTAAGTACCAAATCACATATTCCTCAAATATGTGCAGGGATTTTGAAAATGTAACTTATTCTTTTTTAAGGGATCACTTGTTTTCAAGGTGAAAATAACACTCACCTCGAACTGTTCTCCAGAAAATTCGACTGGGAGCACGGAAGTGATATGGGCCACGGGATGGGTTGGTGTTCATACGCTTGCGGAGGAAAGCAAGGTATTTCACTGAAAGAATAGAGACAGATAGAAAAGGGCTTAGATCAGATCAGAAAGATTAGTGTGAGCTGAACCCCATAGACAACACAGCTCATTTATATGTCTAGCTGCTAAATGGAAGAATCAAATTTCCATACTGACAAACAAAATCATCTACTACATTTATGAAGAACTACCTTCAGAATACAGGAACTTCCCATAAGAAAACTATCAGGTTCGTGTAAATGACAATGTATGGACTTTGGAATTCTCACTTTACTCTTAAGATTCTTTATTATTAAATATATTAATAATGGGTGCATCCAGATAATTTCTTTGCAAGCTGCATTGATTGCCAATCGGTCTCCAGGTAAAATTCATTGGTCAGCAATGAAAAAGCCTTCCCTGGCACAGTTACCTGTGGGACAGTCCTCTCTTCAGTTATATCTGTTAATCTTCTTAGATCTAGTACAGTGGAAATGCTCCCAGTCCCCTTGTTAAAATTACATCATTTTATGGGGCCTCAGAAATGTACCTCCTGTTGCTGCACCTGGACTGTTTGAACCCCTCTTCCCCTATAATCTGCATGGATCAAGCCTCCTGCCATCTAGGAAAGCCCTTTCAAAACATGGCTTTTTCACCTGGCTGAGATTGTTTATATGGATGGAATAAATGAATAAATTATCCCTACATTGTATTCCTCATCCTAAGCAACTGGTGCCACAATGCCTTAAATTCAACATGGAAAAAAAGAAGGGAAGTAGCACCAGCAGTTCTACTTTCAGAGCCTATGCAAATCCTATGGGTGGTTACAGAGTGAAGAAGGCTCTTCAGAATAGGCTGGTGGTCTCAGATGGTAGTGCATGTAGAGTTGTCTCATGGCCATGACACTCGAATTAAAGGTGGTAAGGCATCATCACTGACCACTTCTCATACGGACACCATTCTTGATATTTATCACATGACAGTCTTACTTTCTGTCACCCGTTCTTATCTAGTCTTTTCTTTTGTGCAAAATGGGGACATTGTTATTAAAAAGCATCCAAATCTTGATGCAATGTACATAGAGTATACCAAACTAACATGTCAGCTAAAGCTCCCAAAGAGAGGTTGGAAGAGCAGCTTCTGGTATTGTTTTCCTGGCCATCCCTACATTTTTCTTAAGATTCTCTGCAGTGAAAAGACGTTAATAAAGTACCAACCTATCAGTTATACAGTTCAACAGTGCAAAATGATTAGAATTCTTCCACAAAGATTTTAAGAGGAGATATCAACACAATTCTTTCATATACCCCCTAGCAGGGTTGCCAAGTATTACTGTCTTCCCCAAATTATTTTGACAGATTTGGGAGCCTCAGTTTTACTTACATTTGTTGCGGTAGAAGTTGCCTGATATGTTAATCCCTTCACATCGCACAACTACAACTTTGCGCCCTGAAGGAAAAGGGAAGTAAGGTTAAAGTATGTCTTCTGACATGGAATACAGATTGGACATAAAAGTTTCAAAGAGTGATGTCTAGTATCTGTTACAAATTGTAGGCTTGTATCCTCAAAAGTCTATTACAGTATGCCAAATTTTCGTTGCTTTATCAATCCTCAGATGAATAAATTAGCTTATGTAAGAATGGTTGGGAAAACCTAGTTAAGCTTGAGTGAATTTAAACACAGAATTGGATTGAACAGGCTAGTACTTTCCATAACAGACACTACCGTAACATCTAAAATCTGAAGGGCAACTTGGAAAACTGAAAGGGCACATTGGAAGAAAATAAGGACAAATTTCTTCCATATAACTTGTCCAGAAAATTTCACAAAGTTTCCAGGAACTGACCTTGACTTTTAAGGATACTTTTAAGTTCCAGTAAAACTACCTTATAGTACAAAAAACTGCACACATAATGACTAGCCAGGGATTTATCAGGCTAAAAATCTAAATTAATACATTAAAATATGGTTCAAAATGCAACCTATATTAAGACCAAAGACTTTAAGGAAGTAGAATCCTACACAGCTGAAGTAGAGAAAAGAGTATGAACTTTTCTAGATGGAGACTTCTATCAAAATACCAAAATTAAGTTTAAACAAAATACTTTAATTTAGTTATTCTTAGAAAAAATAGAATAATCTCAGAATTTGCTTCAATATTTGTAAGATTCAAATCAAAAAGCATCTCCATATAGTTAGTAAAGTCCTTGACTCGCTAATACCCCTTCCATACATTGGGATGAGTAACACAATTCTCCCACATATAGATCAAACCTCACCCAGCAACACTTGCTTAGCGACAATGGCTGCAAGGCGACCCAGCAAATGGCCACGTCCATCAATCACCAATACCTGGAAAAGAGAAGTTTTTAAACGATGCTTATTGACATATATAAGGAACATTTCTAGAATCTAAATAAATTCTCTTCTCAAACCACAGTGATTTAAATAATCTACCAATTATGAAAATGAGGGGGGGAATCATTGTTTAGCTCTAGACATGATGGGGATGTTTCCCCAATCCAAAAAGCATCAGCTTCTACTTAGCAAGGCTAGCAGCATTCAGCAAGCATTACTCCCCTGCTTCACAGCATGGGAATTTGGCGCTCAACTTTTCCAAAGGGATACAGCATCTTTCACAGCTTTATTTCCTACAAAACTAAGCCTGTTATTTTCTTCTCTCTTTTTTTTGCAGTTTTCTCTCTTCTATTCCTCATTCATCTTTCTTTCTCATTCATCTTATCTTTCTACCTAGCTATCACAACTGAGCAATTCTGGAATAGTCTCAGATAATCCACTCAGTAGAAAATAAGGCTACAGCTATGCATTAAAAAAAAGTGTGGAACACACTCAGCAAGCATACAACTTTAAGCCTCAACTGAAAAAAACCAGGGAGGGCAGGAATAATAGTGTTGGGATCAGCATACAATGAGGTCAGAGCCTTTTGTTCTGGAGAATAAAATCTTTTCACAGCTCGTCTGGATTTCACCGATTTATTCTTGCTTCACACCCCAGCTCGTGGAAACCACGAATTATTCTTCTAACACTAAAAAGCAGCTTTCCCGCTTCTAATACCTTTCCCGGTGCATTCAATTAAAAACATCATATTCTCTCCCCCACCCTGCTTCCCCCAAGGATTTGGCTATGCTGCTGGATAGCGATGGCCCTTGTAAGGCACCAACTTGGTCTAAGGCCGGTGTGGAGAAATATTGGCCGCCTGGCTGATGCTCCGAAGTGCACCGTTAACCCAAGCCTCCCTTGTCGTCTTCAGAAGGAGACGACACGTGTCTACGCCGATCAAGCAGCTAGCATTTAATCTTCTTTACATACCAAATCAGGCTAAACTGGAGGTGGGGGAGGATTTAGTTTGCCCTGAAGGAAAGAAACGCAGTAAATGCTGCGGGCCGGGAATCTAATCCATCCACAGCCATGCTTACTCCCACCCGTTCCCTCTCGCCCTCCAGGCCCAGATCATCTCCACGGGATCCCTCTCCCTTCTAACCCGACAATCGCCGGGAATCCCGACAGGAGGTGAAAAGGGACGCCGTTCAAACCCTGCTGCCCGCCCATCTGCCCCGCTCCCCCCGCGAATAAAACAAAAAAAAGGCATTCAACACCCGCGCACCTTCGGCTCCGTCATGGCGGCTCTTCTGCGGCCACAGGGGAAAAGACTCCACCCCCTCACTTCCACGGGGTTGCCTTCTCCGGCCGGTTTAAGAAATGTTAAGAACCACAGGGGCGGATATGACGTTACGCCTAAAGGAAAGACTACAGAGGTGCGAAGCCGGTACTACCGGTAAAGACAGCCGCTCTCTTCCATCAAAGGTCTGGAAATGGTGCCGCTCTATAATTTTTTTCTTCTCTATGATGAACGTTTTCTTTCCTCGGCAGTTGAAAGTTCCTTTGTAAGATTTAAGCTCAAAACGTGACAGGAAGTAGTACAAGAATAAGGTGGGCTTTTCGGGTGTGAAAGGACTGACCGGAAGAGAGTTCGAACTCAGGGCGGAAATAGTACGTGGAGCTGCCATTTTGGGAAAAGTATTTCAATTATTTGTTATATCTATATTCCGCTTTTCTTTTGGAAGTTCAAGCCAATTTATATAGTTTGGGACCTAATACAAATGTTTCATTTCTCTTCACAATGACTGCTCGTTGATATAAGCGAACTAAGAGATGGTAACCAAGCAAAATGTTTGCAACCTTGATTAATTTAAATCCGAATCTCTATGATCCAATCTCTGTGGGGATTCTCAGGCATTCAAGTCATGGTTGTCCCAAAGTGCTTTTTCAAGAGGCAACTGGACTTTGGGTTTTTTTTTAATGTTT